GAAGAAGCATGAGGTAAACTATCCTACTCACGATTTAGAACTGGGGGCAGTGGTATTTGCACTGAAGATTTGGAGACATTATCTCTACGGGGAGACATGTCATATATACACTGACCATAAGAGCTTGAAATACGTGTTTACTCGGAAAGAGTTGAACATGAGACAGAGGCGATGGATGGAGTTGATAAAAGACTACCATCTTATCATTGAGTACCACCCCGGTAAAGCCAACGTGGTGGCGGATGCCTTGAGCCGAAAGAGTTCGTCTGGGGCATTGTTGACTAGTTTGAGGGCATTGAGAGCCCAATTGGAGATATCTAGCGATGGTGCCTTGTTAGCTAGATTCGAGGTGAGACCTACGTTACTTGATGAGATCAAGAAGGGTCAAGAAACTGACGAAGAGCTGATGAAGGTCCGTGAACGCATGCTAGCGGGACCGGTTGAGGATTTCAGGGAAAGAGATGATGGTCTCTTATTATTTCGTGACCGAGTGTGTGTACCGTCAGATAGTGAGCTCCGAAAGTCCATCTTAGAGGAAGCCCATTCATCGGCGTATGCCATGCACCCGGGGGGCACGAAGATGTATCGTGACTTGAAAGAAAGTTACTGGTGGTCTGGTATGAAGAGGGAAATAGCCGAGTACATCAGTCGATGCCTTACTTGTCAGCAAGTCAAGGCAGAACATCAGCATCCAGCTGGGTTATTGCAGCCACTTTCCATTCCAGAGTGGAAATGGGAGCACGTGACTATGGATTTTGTGGTGGGACTACCACGGACAGTTAAGAATTATGATGCTGTATGGGTTGTGGTTGATAGGCTCACGAAGAGTGCACATTTTCTACCTATCAACACCACCTATGCACTTGAGAGGTTAGCCAAATTGTATGTGGATGAGATCGTGAGGCTACATGGGGTTCCTATAACCATTGTATCCGACAGAGATCCACGATTCACATCACGATTTTGGCCGAAGTTCCAAGAGTCCATGGGAACAAAACTGAAGTTCAGCACTGCTTTTCACCCACAGACAGATGGACAATCTGAGCGGGTTATACAAATTTTAGAGGATATGTTGAGAGCTTGTGCATTGGAGTTCCAAGGAAGTTGGGACAACCATTTAGCACTTGTAGAGTTTGCCTATAACAATAGTTATCAGGCAAGTATCGGCATGCCTCCATACGAGGCATTGTATGGGAGGAAATGCCGTACACCGTTGTGTTGGGACGAGGTTGGCATGGCCAAGCTCGAGGGCACGGAATTGGTGGAGATTACCAAGTCCAAAGTGAAGATGATTCGCGAAAGGCTTAAGGCGGCCCAGGATAGACAGAAGAGCTATGCCGACAAGCGCCGGAGGGCCTTAGAGTTTAAGGTGGGAGAGGAGGTATTCTTGAAAGTTTCACCCTGGAAAGGAATCATCCGATTTCAAAGCCGAGGGAAACTTAACCCACGCTACATAGGGCCATTTGTGATTCTTGAAAGAATTGGGGCCGTAGCATACCGATTGCAGTTGACTCCAGAATTGGAGAAGATACATAATGTGTTCCACGTGTCTATGCTAAAGAAATATGTGCCGGATCCGTCTCACGTGTTAGAGAAACCACCCGTGGAAATACGTGAGAACTTGAACTATGCCGTTCGACCGGTAAGGATACTTGATAGGCAAGTAAAGAAGTTGAGGAGCAAGAGAGTTCCAATGGTTAAAATCCTTTGGAAAAGTGACCGAGTTGAGGAAGAAACTTGGGAAACGGAAGCCTTAATGAAGGATCAATATGCATTTCTGTTTGAGTAAGCATTTGTGAATTTCGGGGACGAAATTCCCGTTAAGGGGGGGTGAACTTGTGACACCGCACCCGAATGTACTTGAATTTGAAAGTGGATATGTATTTGATTTTTTTCTAGCGAATAAATTGTGATTGATTGATACATTTAATTAATGTGATATTAATTAAATTATTCTTCGGGTCCATTATATGAGAATGGACTACCAAATATTTAGTTGGATCATCATAATAAATTATAGAAGCCCAATAAAGTGCCAACAAAAGTTGATAAAAATATTTGGACAACCCGAGTGATATTTTGGCCCAAACCTACCGAAAATAACGGGAATAATTGGGAGGGACTTCCTACACCTACTTGGGGTATTTTTACACATCATTTAGCCTCAAAGAAGTGGGGAGGGGGACAAAATAAGGGGGGAGGGGCGTGCATGAAGGAGGAAGTCTCCTTGAGACAAAAACCCACACCCTCCATACCCCACCTTTACATTATGTGTGTTTGATTGAGAAGGAATCCTTCCTATCTCAATACACACCATTCGAACAAGCTAAGGGAGAGAGAGAGCTCAAGGGAAAGTCTTCAACAAGGTCCAAGATTGAAGGCAACATCAACAAAAGAAATCCAAGGAGAAAAGAGTTGTTCTTGAGGTAAGAACACAAGTATTATCCTTTAACTAGTATTATTTTTGTATGATTTTTAAGAAATCATATGATGGATCAAACATGAAGTTCTACACGTTTAAAAGTGTAGAATAATGTTATAAAGTGGTGGTATTTAACTTAGAAGAGTCGTGGAATCGATAGGAGTTGAAATCGCCGGAAACCGCCAAGTATAGGAGGCTGTTCGTAGCTGCAGACCACGAAAGCCGCCCACCTTTTGCAAAAGCCGCCCGGCTTTCGTCTGCTGGTTGGATTTTCCACTTCTAATCGGCTTAGAACGGGGATTGATCGGAGGGCTTAACAAAGGCAACTATTTCAGCACTTCATAAGGTGAGGATGGCTGACTATATTGCTTATAATCTTTGGGTTAATTTCGTAGGATTACCTAAAGTGAATAAATGTGATTTTCATGGATTATTAATGATTAATAATGCCTAAATGAAAATATTGTTGTCAATGAATAAAGGAGCATAATATACAAATTTAAGGATAAATTGTGTATGATTATGTAATATGAGCATATTGGCTTGATGAAGGGATTAATTATAAATATTGTGTTGAAATATAACTATAACTTCATATAAGGATGTATGAGTGATTAAAGGTTATATTTTGTATATTGATATGAACTATATTTTCAATGGAAAATTAGTTTGGAAATTGTCTATATGACTATGGGTTGAAAATGAGTTTTGTTGGAATTTATCCGACTAGTATTATGATACTAGTCGGGGTTTTGGAATGAAATATGTTAGAATTGATCCAAGGTTTGGATGGTAAATTGTTGAGCCTTAAGTAGTCTTAAGAGATACTAAGGTGGATAAGTGATGCTAGGGGTAGGCCTTAAGGGATACCCAAGATGAAGTGAATAATAAATTGATCCTAGGAATAGGATTGGCCTACGGGTGTATTCGGTAGTCTTTAAGGATTAGCCGATAGAGTATTGGTAACTAGTAAGGACCATGGCCCTTCCCGACTCTAGAGAGCGGGGTTGGATAGCATGGACTTACATCGTGATCACGGGTTAGGGTGGAATCCGAACCGGAGACCTTACGAGGCTCCCGACAGCGGTAACACATAAGATAGGACCCCGAATGGACCTTACCTTCCTACGGGACGATGGGTATGAGTTCAGGGGCGAGATGTTGGACTCCGGCCCGAGAGCCCGGTGAGGCCTCGGAGAGCGGTGACAAGTCTCGTAAGGATGATAAGACCTACGGGCGGTGTCGTGTAAACGATGATTGAAATGAAATATAAAAAGGGGCCGTGTGCCGACAAATTAATTAATTAACTTATTACGAAGATAATAAGGGTTAAAGAAGAACTATCATTATATTATGATATCACTCTATTTTGAGGGTCTTAGAAGTTGAAACATTGATTATATTTAGTATAGTTGTCATTGTACTTGTCAAATGCTTCCAAGTACTGACCTCCCCTTCACGGGGGAGGCCACCTCACAGTTTCAGGTAGGGAGTAAAGCTTGCTACCATCGTCCGTTGCTTCGGATAGCTCAGGGAGAGAAGACGTGGTTCGTGCTTCCTCCGCTCTATTTTTAAAACATTAAATCAATGCTCATGGATATTATTTTTGAATCATTATTTGGGGGCTTGTATGCCCATGTTTGCCAAAGTGTGGCATGAACACTTGTATTAAATATTTCCGCTGCTTTAAATGATTATTTTTACATTATGCTTGTTTATGGATGCACTATTGTGAATGATATTCGAGACGCCTAGTATAGTATGGATGAGTTGGACTGCGGTTGACTATTCGTACTGTACGGCGGGTTGTTGACGTGTCCGGTAGGTCCGGGGCGTGACATGAACTGTCCAGTTAACTTCATGAAACTATTTGAGTGTCTTCCCGATTGAATTTTTAGCTGAAATTTGGTATGGATAAACTAGACTTCATGAAGAACATGCTCAAAACATTTCATCAAAAAATTCCATCGAAAAGTGCCCGAAATGCCCTCGGCCAGACGGAGCATCCCGTCAGGCCGGCCTGACATGAAGATTTGTCTCCATCAAGATATAGACGAAATTTTAAATAAGGCTAAAGGGTCAAAGAAGTCCTTGAACTAACTTAAAGTGTTCAATTAGCCCCTTATATAGGAGGTTCTTCCCAGGCGTCGCCAATTGGGGTGGTTCCCGGGGGAATGTTTTAATGAAATTTTTGTTAGCATCTTCTTCATTAAGTCTAGTTTACCCATACCAAAGTTCAGCTAAAAATTCAACCGGGAAGGCAGTCAAATGATTTTTTGAAGATAATTGTGCAGTTAAATAGCGCGGCACATTTTGGAAAATTATTTGAGTGCCATCCCGATTTAATGTTTTGCTGAAATTTGATGTGGGTAAATTAAACTTAATGAAAAAGATGCTCAAAAAATTTCACCAAAAAAATCCACCGGGAACCTCCCCAATTGGCGATGATCGGACCGAACCTCCTATATTAGGAGCTAATTGAACATTTTATTTAGTTAAAGCGTCTATTTGACCATTTAGCCTTTAAATAATTACAAAAAATTTAGAAATTTAGAATACAGTAGTAGTCTGAGTATCTAGTGAAGTAGTATCCGTGCGGTTGCAACTGGTCTCCACATGCTATTTCTGCTACTTTCTGCTGTAAACTACTCCGTAACTTGCTAAATCTGTTTGGGGAAATTTCCGCATCTTCTTCTCCTATAACCTCCATCGCCCATCACAGCAATACAGAATCATACTCCGTCCCGGCCAGCAGCACTAAACAGGCTTTGTTCAATATGAATCCATCAACATTTCATGCTTCATTGCGGGAACAGTGTTTACGGAGCAACACAGTATTTGACACCGGAGAAGGCGGCTAAGACTTCCTATTAAGGTTCCAAATCGCAGACACCCGAATATGTCTCGGTAACCGCTTTAGTTACGCCTATATAGTTATGGTTTTCAACTGCATTTTGCTGTCATTTTAAAGAATTTTGATATTCATTCATGTTTCACGCATAATCATGTTGAATAATCCTATGAGAAAAGCATATCGAAATTTACTGATATGACAATTGAGAAACCTGTAATATTGAACAATTTCATGTTACAAGTTCTTAAAACACGTTTATCCAACATTGGTGGTCATCTCACTTAAAAGCATTTAAAAAGCGTTACCAATTGCAACAAGCAATACTTTGCATCTATTTAGGTATGTACTGTTTGGCTTTCATGAATGTAGAAAGTAGACTTGAGTCTGCACAGTGTTCTGCAAATAATTGAATAAGCTAGTTCATCTTACTTGGTGTGCTCCAAAAGATAGACATCACACTATCATAGTCATGTTGAGTGTTCATCAGAAATGTAGTGAGTACTCTTTGCAAAAGTGAACTTTCTTGTTTCTTGTAATGGCTATGAATTTTTTATGTTCCAATTGTCGATGTACCAAATAAATGTTCATGGTATAGTACTCTCTGTCCAAAGTAGAGTCCCATTTTAGAAACTACCTTGACTTTTTTCTACATTGTTATTTCAACAAATAAATCTACTTCTAGGAAAATAGTATTGAACTAATTACTTATACTATCCTAGTTAAATAAAAAATAAACTGAAAAGTATAAGTGGGTTGATGATTTATAAAGTTCGTACATTACCAAAATTAAAAGGTGTTACATTGGCGAAACATGACTTTTTTGGGTGATAGAAGTAGCACTAAATACCATCCAACTAATTCAACATTTCCAGGTAAATTAGTTGAATCTCATCATACTTGGAGAGTGATTGCATATGGTTAAAACTTAAAAATGGATTCTTTGTGCTCACAAGCAGTAAGCTTTCTTTCGTGGGAAAAAAGCAATAAGCTTTCTGGTAAGTACATCATTGATTTGTCTAGTGACATGTAACATGCTTTAATTGTATCTCTAACTCAAAATGCTAGAGGAGTAATGTGATGCTATAGATCCAAGATTTTTTTAAAGAAATTAAATGGACATATATATCTTTTACTATCCCAAGTGGCATTTTGTTATTGGAATGATATCCTACAATTTTTCTCTCAAATGGTAGTCACTATTAATTTTCTACCCTGAAGGACTGTAGTTTGATGAGGGCAGGGCAGTCATGTCTTCAGGAAAGAAATGCATGCCACAGGGTATTATACACAATGCATACATAAATCCACACACAACAGTGTACTTAAACTACTTAAAATGTCTTGAATTTTGAGTATAAAAAGGTATTTAATGACATACAAGAAGTATTTTAGCAAATTGATCCTGATATGCTCTACCTCAGATAGTGAAGCTGAGAATGTCCGTCTAGTGCTGCTTATTATAACTTACAGCAGTACGGAATGTTGCTGCTTACTACTACTATGGATTTACCTGTTCAGTGTGGAATGAAAGGAGTTTTACAGTCTAAGATGGAATTGATGGTAAGCTAGGCAAATCAATAAATTTGATCATTCCGACAATTTGGAATATATTAACAGTTCCCCGATATGCTTCTTAATTAGGACCTGCATACTTTGAACTTCTATTCTTTATTATAGAAAGAGTATTTCTTTCTATAAATGAATGCAACCATTAACTTTTGTTTATCTTCACTTTTTTTATCTTCACTTTGAGTGGACAAAGTTAATAGTTTTCTTTTGTTTTTACTTCATAGTTGTAAAAATCCCAACACCAATATTTTATAAAAATCACTTATTAACTTTTTTTTTTACACAAGAAACTTATAAAAACAAGAAACATAATAAGGTCAGTACAAAGTTCTCTGTATAAAAATAAAGTTATCCCAAGTGCTCATAATAATAGCATTTTTTTCCTTTCCAGCTTGTGTGCGTAAATTAATTGTCTAATAATCTCAGTTTTTTTTTTTTGCATATTGTGGCCACTGGCCAATACCCTCATAAAGAAGAAACAGAAAGTGCATATCAACCTCCTCCGTATTCACTATCTTTTCCTGCACACCAAAAGTCTAATTTAAAGATTCAGATCTGATCGTCTTATTTAAAATTATTCATTACTTCTTTATTAGGCCTTATCTTGGACTTCGATCGATCTTTATTCTGTCATTTTGAACTTGTGACTGCATAACACACTTCATTACCAGCATGTCTGCGGTGAAGGTATCCTCTTTTGATCCCCAGTTGGAACTTCCTTTGGCCCTACTGACATGTGTTGTTGAGTTTGGTCCACTACTCCACTCTTTACATTTTTGCATGTAAGGCTGATTTTACAAGAATGAGAAGGAATGGATTCCTGAACCTTCTAAGCCACTCACAGTCTTATTGACATTTATTTTTGAAGTGGTAACTAGGGCAAAATGTAGGGATTGAGAAACAGTATTTGCCTTTATCCTTTATAAAAGAATTAAGAAATAATGTTCTTTTATATCCACTATTATTTAAACTATTACAAGTTGCATCATTTTTGTACTTCCCCAAAGTTCCAGGAAGTGAAACTATTGATGCTTTGGCAGTTGTAGCGAATTAGGAACTGAAACTTGTAGCTCCACTGCTCCAGTTTATTTTGATAACCTTTTTTTCTGTATATAAGACATACATTCCGATTTCCAACAAGGCACCAATGTTACTTACTCCCTCCATCCCATTGGACTTTGCCAACTTTCCTTTTTTGGTTGTCCCAAAAAACTTTGCCACTTTCCTATTAAAGCAACTAATTTGTGCTTCTGCACATTTCTCTCTCCTCTACACATTTCTCTCTCCTCTGCACAAATCTCAACCACATAGTTTTTACCTTTTCTTATTTCTTATCTACTTTGCACTTTGCAAAGTCCACTGGGACAGAGGTAGTATATTGTTTGAGATATAAGGCCTACATTGTGCTTTACGCTTAAATGATACATATATTGTTTGTAATGTTACGTAGTGTTAACAATGGTACTTACATTGGTTCTTTGATGCCATTCTGGGAAACGTTAATGCTTCATTATGCAGATTGTGACACCCCAAGACACATGTCTTTCCCCCACTGAAATATCATCTATAATTTATTCTTTCAAGGATAAGTTTGCATTGGAGCGTCAATCTTATATTAAGGTGCATTTTCAATTTCCCTAGTTCTTGTGGTTGTTGATTCAGATAGTACAAAATTGTAACAACAAATTGAATAAATTCTTATTCCCTCAGAAAAAGATCGAGGACAAAACAAGTGAGTTGGCTGGTGTAATTAGAGGTATTTACAAGTTGGCAACTGGAAGAACAGATCCCCAGATTCTCTCTGGTAATGGAATTGTAGATATACTATCAAAGAGGCAGAAAGACGCTATTGATATGCAAAATGGTATTGCTACTAGCGACAGAAATAACAATATTAGCTGTGAGGATGATGGTTATGCGTCTGTAGTTCTTCTAGGGTCCAGCATTGCTGCCAAGAAATATGTTCGCCCTATTGTACTTCCAAAAGTGGAAAAACTACCTCACTTCACTACATGGACTTTTCTATATAGGTGTGTTATTGGTGCTTCTTGTCTCCCTCCGAACACCTATTACTTGAATGCAGTTTGCTCAACTGAAGGAGACTTATCTTATCTCCTTGCCAAAATAACTTGAAGCAAAAACTTAAGATGTATTCAGTAGTATGGATGTTTTTACTTGGACTGCAATTTGTTGGTCTGGTCTGAACTGGTTTGATCTGATAATGTCTGGTCTTTTTTGTATTTTTATAACTATCCAAGTCAAGTCTGGTCTGATGTGGTCTGGTCTGGGACAAATTACAGTCCAAGTAAAAACATTTCATGCACTCACTCAATATTTATTATTTAGACATGTTTGCATTAAAATAGATGGTTTGATTTTTGTCTATAACTCAAATATATTGTTTGCGTATTTAGAATTTGCTTGTAAAGCCCTAAACTAGTTAGTTGTCAACTTGTCACACTTGATTGTAATTGAATAACTTTTCAGATCTATTTATTATTATTACTATTATTAAAGAAATTGCCCAAAATAGGAGTTAGACATGGACAAAGTTTTAAAAAGGGACTAAGCATGTTTTCTTCCCAAAATAAGACTTATATTGTCATATTAAAATAATAAAACATTAAAAGTATCCCAAAGTAGGAGTGAATGAGTCATGATTTGGGAATAAAATAATGACACTCCTACTTGAAGAATTATGCTTTGTTTTATTCCTACTTAGGGAATTTTCTCTTATTGTTATTCTTATTGTGGTTGTTTTTTATAACTATTGTTGTTGTTGTTATTATTGTTATTATTATTGTTATTATTGTTATTATTGTTATTATTGTTGTTAGTGTTGTTATTGTTGTTATTGTTGTTATTGTTATTATTGTTATTATTGTTATTATTATATTATTATTATTATTATTAATAATATTAATATTATTATTATCATCATCATCATCATCATCATCATCATCATCGTCATCATCATTATCTGTTTATACTTTCTTTATTTTAGTAATATATACTACTCCCTCTGTATTATATTGTTTGCTACAATAGGGTTTGGCACAATATTTAAGGGAAAAATAGTAGGGGGTGGAATAGTGTAGAAAAAATAGGAGAGAAGATGTAAACAGTAAAAGTGTGAAAGAGAATATGAAAAGTAGAAAAAGTGAAGGTAATTGAGTGGGTGTAAAGGATCCAAACAAGGAAAATGTAGCAAACAAAAAAATACTTCCCAAAAAGGAAAGTGTAGAAAATAAAAGAATATGAAGAGTATGTAGTACTACCTCCGTCCCGGTAGACTTTGCCAAGTTAAAATAGGTGAGAAATAAGAATAGTAAAAATTGTGTGGTTGAGGTTTGTACAGAGGAGAGAGAAACGAGCAGAACCACAAATTAGTTGCTTTAATAAGAAAGTTGCAAAGTTTTTTTGGGACAACCAAAAAGACAAAGTTCGCGAAGTCCAATGGGTTCAGAGGGAGTAACTAATAACTACAGTAACTCTATGGTAAATGATATGTGTAAAAGATTGAATGGAGTGTGTAGCAGTGTAGCGCCTTTGAAAACACATTGTTAGCCTGGAGCCACGGATAGTTATGCTCTTTTCATCACATAATTTGTTGACTTGAACTAGTGTACATATCCTTTTTCAACTTGATTTGTATTTGTTACTATGCTTATCATTGCATGTGATTTGGGGTTTGGCATGAAATCTGATTATAGTGGAAAATTTTCAGAAACCAGAGGATGACTGAGGATCAATCAGTGTTAGGCCACAGAAGAATCTATTATGACCAGATTGATGGTGAAGCTCTAATTTGCAGCGATAGTGAGGAAGAAAGAATTGAAAAGGAAGAAGAAAAGGAATTTGTGGACTCTGAAGACTATATTCTGCGGTTTGTCTAATTATGCCCACTTGATATGGTTTCTGTTTGTGCCTTTAGGAATGACTTCTTTTGGTACTTTCTTCAAACAAAATATGTTGTATGAAGCTTTCCCCACTTGACAATAAAAATTGCCTCTATACATAAACAAAAACCTTAGCATGCTATACTGAAAAGGTTGGATTGTCTGATATGGTGTTACACTTAATGTGTCAGGATTTGACACGGATTACCATGCATCATATATTAAACACTGTCATTATTAAATATCTTGATCTTATACTTTTTATTCTAGAATGACTGTTGAAGAGGCTGGATTGTCAGATATGGTGTTGCATTTGCTCGCCAACCACTTTTCTAGAAAGCCCAGTGAAGTAAAGGTATAAACTGTTTTCTTGATTCTCTAATGTTCTCATGCGGTCATGCCTGTATCCCCTGACTCATAGAAGCTTTTCAGGGTGACTTTTTAGTCAGCTGCTTTTCATTTGTTTTTTGCTTACTTTACGGATATTATTCACATCAAAATTTTACACAGGCAAGATATGAATATCTGATCAAGGAAGAAGCTACTTCTAAAAATGAAAACTCTGAAGTAACTCTGGTTTCATATCTGGACAGTGATCTTGATGCAGCTCTGGATTCATTTGACAATCTATTTTGCCGGAGATGTTTTGTAAGCAACAATAATTGATACTTGCTTCTCTTGCATTCTGGGAAGTGAATTCTAAGGTCATGAGTAGTATAGTCTCTCTAATGGATTTACAATAGGTCGTGGGTTTTAGTGTGCAGTGTGTCATAATCTCATTATCCCTTCAAATCCCTATTGTGTTAGGGCCAGAAGCATTAAGTTTGTAGTCTCAATTAATAATCTTGAATTTGTATTTTGTGAACACTCTACATTCATGCATAAAAGCACAGTAGCAAAGTTGTGCGCTGGATGTCATCCTGTTGCAAGTTGCGACCATGAGATGAAATTCCAAATCAACATCATCACAGATTTGTTTTCACTTGCATGATAAAATATCATGATAAAGACAATGAATTCAAATAGTTTCGATCACGCGTGACTTCCTGTCTCATTCTGAAGAATCCTTCTGATCCTTAATTTATTACAGGATCGGCCCCTACCATTATTATTAGAGCATCTCCAATGTGCAAGGTGCACACGTGGCATGAAAGAGACACACACATAAAAATAAATCATTGACATTTCTCTTTCCTTCTTTTCACGGTTTTACATAATTTTGGTAATAATGTCAACAACAATGTCTATATCTAGACATTCTTCTTGACATTGTGGAGAAAAACTTACCAAAAACATATAAGATTATTCAAATAAGGAGAAAGATATTTGCTTACTAATATTTGTTTGTCTATCTCTCTTATGCCACATGTGCACCATGCACATTGTGGCATTGGAGATGCTCTTATAATGCATTATGATACCAGTTCTTCAAAAAGAGCTATCACATGACCGTCCTAGAATATGATACCACTAAAATCATTCCATTGGCCCAAAACATGCTGCTTTCTTGTACTCAACTACTCATTTCTAAATATGCCCTCAATATAAAGCCAATGCTTAACTTGTTATGATATATCTGTTATGTACATTATTTGAAAACCGAATGATTGCAGAGAACTCTCGTGGACCTTACTGAAAGTTGGTACTTAACGGGACTTGTGCTATTCACTTTTGTGATGGCACCTACTCTTTAATATTTAGATGACAGGATTTTTTAATACCTCCCATACCTTCATATACCCAGCTTAATTGTCTATAGTTGATACGCAAATTATATCGTACAACCGGTTGTACCTTGCGCACGGTATAGTCGGGCTTTTAATTCGCAGATCGCAGTTTGCAGTTCGTTCTCGCTGCTCGCCCTTCGCCCGCCGCCGTACACAGATGACGACTCGCCACTCGCAATCCTCCAGCACGAATGATGAGTACAATCCCCAGAAACACCAAATTAATAATTGATATTGTTCCCAGGAACAGAAGAATTACAATTCAGAAGATGACGATAAAGAAAAACAAGGATAAACTGTCGTAGAGTAAACTGAGACCAGTTCGAGAGGGTCTCTCTCTCCACAACTTCTGCCCACGTTCCAGAATGCCTTCTCTCTCCAGTCGTTGCCTTTTTATTCCCTCAACCATACCGATACTTCCTCCTTAGTCGGTTATGCCTCCACTCTCCTGTGTTGATAGTCTCTTCCCCCTTTTACCCCTACGGTTATAAACTTTAGAAAAATCCCGATTAGGATTAATTCTAAAATTTAGGCTCGTATCATCACCCCGCCCTTCAAAACTCACCTTGTCCTCAAGGTGAAAATCAGGGAACATAGACTGGAATTGCAGCAAGTCCTCCCATGAGTCTTCAAAGTCGGGAAGGTTCTTCCAGTGTACTAAAAGTTCTTTCCTTCCCATAGGACTCTTCCTGATCGCCAACACCCTTTCTGGTTGGGTTTGTAACTCCCACTCTTCAGATAAACAACTTGGTAAAGGCTGGCTAGGGATGTTAGGAGCCACGGTTCTCTTTAATAATGAAACATGGAAAACCGGGTGCACCGTACACCCCTCTGGCAGTTTCAGTTTATACGCCACCGGATTGATCTTGTCTACCACTTCAAAAGGCCCATAGAATCTGGGACTGAGTTTCTGATTCACCCGTTTGGCCAAACTTTTCAGCTTATAAGGCTGTATTTTCAGGAAAACCATGTCACCCACTTCAAACTGAACTTCCCTCCTACGTTTATCCGCCTGTTGCTTCATCCGGTTTTGTGCTATAGCCAAATTGTGTTGAAGTTCCTTGAGCATTTCATTCCGTTCAGCTGTGAGTTTGGTGACCTCTTCTACTGCCGTGAGGGTTGCATCTCCCCGAATTAAGACTGGAGGATCCTGACCATACAAGGCTTTGAAAGGAGAGGTTTTCAGTGAGGCGTGGTAGTTGGTATTGTACCAATACTCGGCCCAGGGCAGCCATTTAGGCCAGTGTTTTGGTTGCTTCCCAGTGAGGCATCTCAAGTAGGTTTCCAAACATCGATTTACCACCTCAGTTTGCCCATCAGTCTGGGGATGATAGGCAGTACTATATTTAAGCTTGGTACCTGCTAGTCTGAACAGTTCTGACCAAAACGAACTTAAAAACACACTGTCCCTATCGGAAACAATGGTTCTGGGAAACCCATGCAACTTCACAACTTCATGAATGAATATTTCAGCGACCCCCTTGGCAGTATATGGATGTGCAATGGCCATAAAATGAGCTGATTTTGTGAACCTGTCCACCACAACCAGTATAGTATCCTTACCCATAGTCCTGGGTAATCCACCTATGAAATCGAGGCTGATATCAGCCCAGATGTGAGTAGGAATGGGTAATGGATGTAATAACCCTGCAGGGCTTAAAGCCTGATACTTATTTCGTTGACATACCTCACAACTACTCACATATTTCTGAATTTCCGACCTCATTCCTTCCCAGTATATCACACTAGCTATGCGCTTTAAGGTTCTGACATACCCCGCGTGTCCTCCACTAGATGAATCGTGAAATTCTGTCAACACCTTATTGATCCTGGGTGATCCCTTGGGTAACATAAGTCGGTCTTTGTAATAAATCAACCCCTTTCTTAATTTAAACCCGGGGTGAGATTCTGGTTGGGCTAACATATCTTGAATGAGCTGATTGCACCTTTTATCTTTCAGTAATTCCTCTTCGAGCCCTTCCCATTCCTGACAACTGACCACAGATAATGCTTGGTAACTCCCCTTTCTAGACAGAGCATCCGCGGCCTTGTTTTCCATCCCTGGTTTGTATTTGATACTGAAATTGTAGCCCATTAGTTTGGCCACCCATTTTTGTTGTTCCTCCCCCATGAGCCTTTGTTCTGTCAAGAATTTCAGACTTTTTTGATCCGTGTGAATTTCAAAACGTCTTCCCAAAAGATAAGGTCTCCACTTCTGAACTGCCACCACTATCGCAAGCAATTCCCTTTCATAAACTGATTTGCTTTGGTTCCTTGCTGATAAAACTTTACTCATATAAGCGATCGGTCTGCCCTCCTGCATCAACACAGCCCCAATTCCCTGACCAGACGCATCTGTTTCTATGATAAATGTTTTGTTAAAATCAGGATTGGCTAACACAGGTAATTGGGTCATAACCTGTTTCAATCTTTCAAATGCAGTTTTGGCCTCCTCAGTCCATTTAAACCCATCTTTCTTGAGTAAATCAGTGAGTGGTTTGGCAATCCTGCTATATCCTTGTACAAACCTCCGATAATATCCAGTCAATCCCAGGAAACCCCTCAATCCCTTTACAGTTAAAGGAAAATTCCAGTTTACCATGTCCTGGATTTTGCTAGGATCTGCAGCTACACCCCGACCAGATATTATATGCCCCAAATAAATCAGTTCTGTCTGCCCAAAGTAACATTTCTTCTTGTTAACCACCAGCTGGTTATCTTGCAGAAGCTGCAGAACCTTTCTTAGATGTTCGGCATGCTCTTCCTTATTTTTACTGTAAACCAATATGTCATCGAAGAACACCAGCACAAACTTCCTCAAATAAGGTTTAAGGACCTGATTCATTAAAGCCTGAAAAGTAGAAGGAGCGTTAGTTAACCCGAAAGGCATTACAACATATTCATAATGACCTTCATGGGTTCGAATGGCTGTCTTGGGAATATCACTTTCTTTCATTCGAATCTGGTGGTAGCCAGATTTCAAATCCAGTTTAGAGAATATTTTAGCTTCACCCAGTTCATCCAGTAGCTCTTCTATCACTGGAATAGGGAATTTGTCAGGGATAGTGATTTTGTTGAGGGCTCGGTAATCTCCACAGATCCTCCAACCTCCCTCCTTCTTCTTCACCATGATAACTGGACTGCTATAAGGGCTGGTACTGGGCCTTAGTATGCCGGTTAGCAACATTTCTTGTACCAATTTCTCTATCTCAGTCTTTTGGTAGTGTGGGTATCTGTATGGCCTGGAGTTAGGAATAGGAGCCCCTTCTTTTATATTGATAGAATGATCACACTCTCTTCTAGGAGGCAAACCAGGCTGCATGTGGAAAACTTGGGAGTAGGCTTGTAATATTGCTTTCCATTCTTCTCCACTTTCATTCGCGTCTAAAACTGAATCTGATTCACTGCAATGCACATAATAGCCCTGCCCTTGTGTCTGTATGGCTTTAAGTGTTGTCTTCCAGGAAGTTGTAGCTTGATTCAAAGAGTAGCCCCCTGTCAACAACCTTTCCTGTCCTGCTTCCTTCCAGGTGATATATAATTTTCGGAAATCAGCCTTCACTTCACCAAGACTAGACAGCCATTCTATTCCCAGTACCAAATCCGTTCCGCCTAACTCCAAAAGATAGAAATCTTGTTTGATTTCTATGCCCTGCACCCAGATTTGTAACTGTTCACACCTTCCTCTGTTTATTATCTGGTCTCCGTTTCCCAGTTCCACTTGGAATCCTGTGTCGCTTTTATAATTCCAACCCATCTCTTCCACCAACTTTTGAGAAACAAAATTATGTGTAGCCCCAGAGTCAATGAGAACCAACACTGATCTCTTTTTATTCAGATTCCGCACTTGGCCCCTGACTTTAAAGGTGTTTTGAGTGTGTATTCCCTCCTTGCTCAAAAGGTTCAACTGCAGAGATTTAAGTTCTTCCTCTACAGCTTCCTCGTCTACTTCCAAAGGTGCTTCCGTGGTTTCTTCTGAGTCTTCCACCATCTCCATCAATACGAGCTGGTAATTCTTCATCTTACATACATGTTCTCGATTCCACTTATCTCCACACGTAAAACACAATCCCTTTCGTGTCCTATCCTGCAATTCGGCTTGGGAGAGTTTAGGAACCCCCTTCCATGTGCGATTACCCCCCTGTACAGTTCCAGTTGTTCCAGTTTTAACTTCTGAAATCCCCGGCTCCACAGTTGGATTGTTATTTGATATCACCCTCCCTTGTGATCCTCCCGTCCAGTACTGCAACTTAGAAGTGTGTCCCGCTTTTTCTGTCCATCCCCTTTTGTCCATCTCCTTGAGTCGTCCACCCTTGAGGGCCATATTTTTCTTGTCCACAAGTAATGCTTTATCCATCAGATCGGTGAGCCCATCAGTTGGATAAAGTTTCAGTTCAGCTTTAATCTCCTCTTTTAATCCCTTCATAAATACACCCTTCAGCATTGCCGGATCAGTATTTTTTAACGGGGCAACCACCGATTCAAACTGGTCTCTATAGTCCATCACCGATTCAGTTTGTTTAATACTGAGCATCGGGCCAAAAGGATCCTGCACGAGTTCGGGCTGAAACCTCCTGATTACAGCAGCCTTGAAACCCTCCCAAGTTTTCTGTTCGGTGTTTTCATCCCACCATTGATACCAATTCAAAGCTTTACCCTCCATTGCGATGAGCACCACTTCCAGCTTCTCTTCATCAGCCACCTGGTTAAGCTTGAAAAACCTCTCAACCTTGATAATCCATCCATTTGCATCATTACCGTTGAACAAAGGTAGGTCTACCTTTCTTCCGGTGCGAATCCGCTCTCTGTTAATAGGACTATCCTGGCGAGTTGAAGGAGTCCGAGAATGCTCAGAATGACCTTCCGCCCGCGAGGAATCCACACTGCCAGATAATCGGCGATGCCTGGGTGTGCGTGAGCGACCCCTGGTTTGTCGGCGGCCGTTCTGGTTGATGAAGTTCGTCATCGCCTCTCGCATCTCGTTCACTGAGCGCTCCAAACTGTCGATTCTATTCTCCATCTGCGATCTCGTAACGGGCATCCACAGTCCTGCGATCGATGCTCTGATACCAAATGATGAGTACAATCCCCAGAAACACCAAATTAATAATTGATATTGTTCCCAGGAACAGAAGAATTACAATTCAGAAGATGACGATAAAGAAAAACAAGGATAAACTGTCGTAGAAGTAAACTGAGACCAGTTCGAGAGGGTCTCTCTCTCCACAACTTCTGCCCACGTTCCAGAATGCCTTCTCTCTCCAGTCGTTGCCTTTTTATTCCCTCAACCATACCGATACTTCCTCCTTAGTCGGTTATGCCTCCACTCTCCTGTGTTGATAGTCTCTTCCCCCTTTTACCCCTACGGTTATAAACTTTAGAAAAATCCCGATTAGGATTAATTCTAAAATTTAGGCTCGTATCAACGAACGCAGCACCTCAAACTCCGGCATGAGCCGAGACGACGGCTTCGCTGGGTGTATAGCACTAGTTTCCTCTTCTCCCTCTTCTTTGCACTCTTTTCCTTTTTCTCTTTTTCTTACGCAGGTATGGTGAGTTTGGTCACTTGTTGGCCACAGGTTAGGAAAAACCTAAGCCATAAGTAGTTTTACAGATATGAGCATACACAAATGAATTCTGAGCATAATAGACATTTTAAATGAGCTTTTTGACTTTTTTCAATTCTCATTTCGTAATTTATGCATGCTCATTTGATATTGGCGTAATACTCATTTTAAAATGACATATTCATGCATATTTCAAAAGTATAATATTACAACAAATTCACATATTGGATTCATACAAGTTCATTGTAGATATTTTAAAAAATAAGAAAAAAAATGAATTAGAAGATAGGAAGTCAATATCACGATGCTCATTATTAGACTCTCAATACTCAGTAGAATAGATCTTATACTCATTAAATGTTCAGTAATGCTCATTTAGCGGAAATCACGAATTTCTCTTAAATTACCAAAATGCCACCAGTTGTACGGTATACGGACTCATAGTTGATGCCCCATTGCAATGTTGATATAGTAAAATCAAAACACACATCGTGGAACATGACCATGTTCTAGTGCATGGGTCTGACTTTGGTTATTTCAGCTTTCATATCTTATCCTAAATTTACTTATTTCCTCCCGTCGGCTGTAGGTATTTGATTGTCAATTACATGGGTGCTCACAGGATATTATTTTTCCGGTAAGTCTTTGTAAATTTGCATCCTTTCTTGTTTCCTCCATCTCCAAGTTCTCTTCCCATTTCCTTTATACATATTTGTTTTCATAATAAGTCTGCGAAAAGAAAATGGCAAGCTAATTTGGGAATGGAGAGATCTTTTTATTGAAAAAAATCTCAAAGCCATTAAAGCTGTATGATAGTGATTTTTTTCTTCTTTTTTTAATTAATTTTAACAGGCTGAAAAACAACCCCCTTGGTTATGTGCTGATGCAAATGAGGGACCTTGTGGCCTTGATTGTTATCTTGCAGTAATATTCTGTTCTTGCTACCATTGTTTTTTAGGGTGACTTTTGGTTTGACATCTATAATAACTACCTCTAACCAAGCATTCCAGCCCAACTGGTTGTGAGGTTACTGTGCTTAGCGAAAGGTCTCGAGTTCGAAACCCGCTAGGCACATAAGGGTTTGAAACTCAATGGAGTGACTTTCAGCCCTATTACTCCAGGCTCCCCCCAGCCCCCTCCCCCAGACCCCCCTGGAGTAAAAAAAAGCTACCTCTACATGGCTAATTATCATATCTTGCTATGCGTATCCTGATTAACTTTAGGTCATCAATCAAAAAAGCAAACCCAATTTGGCATCTCACGAAATAGTTATTCATGAAGAAGACTGTATTCTGTCACCCGAAGAATCTAGCACGGAAGTCCCATGGAATGTTAACGTAAAAAAGGAATCATGTAAAAACAGAGGTGACAGCCGGAGCAGCAAGTGGATGCTTACACAAGCTCATGTTGCCAGAGAGAAGAGACCAAAGAAAATGATATCTTCTAGATCTTACTCTCTTAGAAATTCAAGCTCGAAGGGTTTGTGTCTACCTTCACATACACAAATCGATGATGCCATTTTATCTAGCAAGAAAGAATCTTCAGTTCCTAAGTCCATTAATTCTTTGCTGGAAGCTGCTGCTGGAATAAATCTGAATGAACCTGTAAATTCTCAACCCATGACTAGTGATTATGAAACTGCAAAAGAAGATGCATTTTTAGATGAACCTACTTCGAAGATAGAAGGATGCAGCAATAATGTTTGGAGGCCACTTGAAAAGGCTCTCTTTGAAAAGGGTCTAGAGATCTTTGGTAGAAGCAGGTTAGTGAAGTTACTAATTTAGGATCGTAGTTTAGTTTCAATGCATACATCAATATTTTTTTTGTTAATCCTCTAGTCAGAGCTATCTTATTTTCGAACAGCTGTTTGATTGCTCGTAATCTCATGAATGGTCTGAGGTCATGCTTAGAGGTTTTTCAGTATATGAACCTGCCTGATAATAAGACACCCAGTCAATCAAACATTGGTATTGAAGTCGTGGTCGGTATTTTCACTTACTGTACACTCCATTCATCCAACTCAGTGGGGTTTCCACATGCCATCATGTTAAGTTCGATTGAAACTGTTATAGGGAAATGAGGAACAGAAAAAACCAAGATATGCATGCCGAAGAGGTAGAGTTCGTCGCTTAAAATATACATGTAGATCAGGTGGACATCATTCGATAAGGAAGCGTATATCTGAGAAGAAGGAGGAACTTGAAAAGCACTATACTCCTTGCAATTGTCAATCTCACTGTGGAAAGAATTGTCCTTGCAGTGTAAAATCAGGCAGCTGCGAAAAATTCTGCGGGTAACTAACTATTTTTTGGGCCTGATTACTCATTTGAATGAGTGGAATTAACCCTTCAGTCTATACTTTGGAACAGGGAGAATGACAGGGTAAGGAAAACAATGATAAAGATTTACTTATTTAATATTTGGCACTTCGGCTTTACCTTGGAAAACATGAAGGAAACTCAAATATGATTAGATTTTGTACGAAATTTACAGATATTTAAGTATTTAACAAAATCGGGGTTCCAAATGGACCCTTAAAATCACAACAGAAGCAATTAGCAATGCAGTGTGCATCTAATGACAAAAAAGCATGTGCGCATTATGTCTTCTGTTTTTCCTTTTTTCCTTATATTTCTATCTTTTCTATTTGTGCTCCTTTGGAAGTGCATCCAACCCTCTTTAGTGACAGAATAAACTGATGTTCTGAAGTGTTTTTTTTCTATTGCCTAGATGCTCAAAGAATTGCCTGCTACGATTCCGAGGGTGTCACTGTTCAAAAAGTCAGTGCACAGCTGATGATTGTCCATGCTATGCAGCTCTAAGAGAATGCGATCCTGATATTTGCCATAATTGCTGGGTTGGGTGAGCATTCATGGTGATATTTGTTGTTGTTATGCATTCATTTGGATGTGAAAGTAGCTATTATGAAAACAATGTTCTCCGGCCATGTACAAAGTGGGTTATTTAACATGTACTTTCAATATGTAGTTTCAAGATTCATTTTATCTTGTGCTCAGCGTGCACATATAAATTTAGAATACTTCCAACAAATTTAATATTCTTTCTGATTACCACAAAACAGATGAATGCCCACCATCAACACCTGTGTTCTCTATCATGTTGAGGCCAGTGGTATGAAATGTGTAGGGTAAATTAATTTTCTAAAAGTAGTCACAATTTTTTATGCCAAATGCATTTCCAATTGCACACTTAGCAAGGAATTATGAGATGAAACTCCAAAACTGTTTTCATGTTCATAAGTTTTCCACCTGCACACATAATGAGGTAATGATGATATAACAGAGATGATATGCTCATGTCCTATTACAAGATTGATATTGTAACTGAAAACAACTAAATGCCTACATTATACATGACTTTATTTGAAAATAGAATGCCACCAAGGACCTCTAGTGGTGTTTGATAATTGATTACTCATCTTTTTAAATCACAATAGTATTTACTAAAAGATATCTAAATGTTAAGACTCTTAAGAGAGCCATCCCTCTATGTACGTCACATCCCTGATCCTTAAGTACTCATTTCATCTATGCATAAAGCAATGTATCCCAAATGGTATGAGCTCTGGCATTGGATTTCTCTTCAGATTGCAGCTTCAAACTATTTATGCTGGTTTAATTGCTTTGTAGTTGTGGTGATGGTTCTATTGGGGTTCATCCGCCAAGAGTCTCAAATCACAAATGCATGAATATGAAATTACTTCTGAGACAACATCAAAAGGTAATTGTTGCTTGCCGCGTTCTGAAATTGCTTAGCGATCATATTTGAATATTGAGAGAATTTGACTTCGCATCCCATGTTTTGGGTGATATTGGACTTTGCACCCATTTTCAAAATCATTAATGTGTGCACCCCATCAGTCCAAAAATTGTGAAGTGGGGTGCAAAGTCAAATGATTTTATAGTGAATCAGGATGCATACATTAATGATTTTGAAAATATGGTGCAAAGTCAAATCCTTCCTTGAATATTTATATCATCTATTTATTCTATACAAAGTATGTATTAGGGGGTGTCTGGAATTGATTCTTAAAACTGCTTTTGCTCCCTAAGGGAGCAGAAGTTGAAGTGTTTGGGTGAAAGTGTAGAAGTACTTCTGGTGCTCTAATTTACTCCTAGAAGCTGTTTTTTTAGAAGCTGGGGGAGATCAGCTTCTGAAAACTGATTCTGATTTTGCTTCTGCTTTAAAAAAGAAGCAGAGGCAGAATCAGTTCCAAACACCACCTTACTTAAAGTTTTAACAAACAAACAACAACATTACCCTAGTGCCGCAAAGGCTCCCGCCAATAGTGGGGTAAGGGGGGTCAAATGTACGCAACCTTACCCCTGTACTAAAGCTTAGAGAGATTGTTTCGGATTATTCCGAGTGACCCATGATGAAAATCGTGTTGAAAATTACATGGATTGACGGTCACTTCATAATAAAGAAGCGCAGACAGTTTAGTGAGCCATTTTGCGTTATTCTATCATATTCCCAAGCCAAAAAATAGTGATTCTTTGGCTCCACTGGAAATGCTTGTACTTATTTATATTAAATTAATGTTAATTTTATTGTGCAGCCCCCGATTCTTGTAACTGTCTTTGTGAACAGATGGGATTGAGTTTTCACGCTTTCAGTCATTAAAGCAAAATGGCATACTAAAGTGTCTGTGCTTCCTTGTTATGAAGCAGTAGTCAGTCCATGTCATTTTTACGCGATTTTCATCATGGGTCATCCGAAAACAGTCTCTATGTGTTTTTGTATATGGTAAGACTGCGTACATTTGACCCCCCTACCCCACCGTAGGTGGGAGCCTTTGCGGCACAGGGGTAATGTTGTTGTTGTTATTGTATTCACATGGATACTCACATCCCACACAGATGTGTTTTTTATTATTATTTTACATCTAGTAGTGGCATGGTAGCTGACGGTGGATGTGGTTCAGTGGTCATTAACTCATCCTTTACGAATGCACTTACCTAGTCATTTTTTATAACATTTCTTGCAAGTCCCTTTTCAGTTTTTTTTTTCAACTTGTATATATTCTGGAACTCAAAGTATGTTCCCTAATGTAGTTTCCCTACCCTTTTTGTTTTATATTCAGGTTCTTCTTGGAAAATCTAGTATAGTTGGATGGGGAGCTTTCTTAAAGGTAATACAGGAATCTCCTGCTTTTCAAATTGAGTTTACCTGTAAAGAAAGCTTAAATTTGTATTTTGATGCATTCAGAATAGTGTAAAAAAGAATGATTTCCTCGGGGAGTACACTGGTGAAGTAATCTCGCACTTTGAAGCTGATAAGCGTGGCAAAGTCTATGATCGTGAAAATTATTCATTCCTCTTCAATCTCAATGATATGGTAAGACATTATTTTCACCTGCTGACGTCTAACATTCACATGCAGAAGATCACTTGGATAGATGTGGTCATATTTGTAAGCAATGAGAATTAGAATGGAACATCCAAGCTAAGACAATAAATGAGTAAAGGACTTCAGTAACTTTGAAAACTTTGTAAATACTTGCAACTTTAAAAACACAATATGTGTGTATTCGTGTTTGTGTGTATGTTTGTGCATACTCACATGCATATATGCAGGCACACATTTCCATCATTTGCAATGGAGCCAAAGATTCATTATTTTTTGGCTTGAGAATATGATGGAATAAAGCAAAATGGCTCACTAAACTGTCTGCGCTTCTTTGTTGTGAAGCAACGGTCAGTCCATGCAATTTTGGACGCGATATTCACTATGGGTCATCCGGAAACAGTCTCTCTGTGCTTTAGTACAGGGGTAAGACTGCGTACATCTGACCCCCCCCTTACCCCCCCTTTGCGGCATTGGGGTAAATGAAAATGAAAATGATGATTAGAAAAGCAACCATATACATGTACATTAAAAGTGCATCTGTGTGTCAATCTCTCTCTCTCTCTCTATGTGTGTGTGTGTATTTGTGTGTATGCTACAATTTAAGTAAGACCCTGGTGACAATGCGGTGAGACCAGCTTTTATTTTGGCCATTAGGTCACTTCAAGGTTTTAGATCTTTATGCTCATTCATATCAAGTATTAATTTCAGCGGTTAGATTTTCAAATTGTTTGAAGATGAATGTTAGAAACTCATTTATTCCATTCAATGACATGGTAAAACGTTTGAACTAAATCTATTGGTTTTTGGCCAAAACAAAGATGGCCTGATGAGATATTTTCTCTTTGTGTATGTATGTAATTATGTACATGTATATCTATATGTATGTGTGTGTGTGTGTATATATTTGCCCCCATTTCTTTTGGTTCAATTGCTTATATGTTTTTGCATACAGCTTGTTGTTGATGCTTACAGAAAGGGAAACAAATTGAAGTTTGCCAATCATTCACTTCAACCAAACTGTGTTGCAAAGGTAAACTGAATGTGTAATGTTTAAGTACTCCCCTTCTGTGGCTGCTTCCTTATTATTTTAGTTCTTCAAATAATAATGCTCCCAGTGGGTCACATTTTGGCAGGTGATCATGGTAGGAGGAGATCACAGGATTGGCATATATGCTTTGACACCAATAAATTCTGGAGATGAACTGCTTTATGATTACCGATATGACCCTGAAAACTGTCCTGCCTGGGCAAAGGATCTTATGGAGTCCACCTGTTCTAAGAAGGGTGATGCTCGACCTTCAGGCAGTCGTGCTAAGAAGCATACATGAGGGTGGTCAATCTTTCAGCCATTTCCCACACAAAACATGTTTTTTGCATTGCCAGAGACGACTCATAATAGTCAATCTTAGTATGACTAATCATACTCTCTTGATTTATTTTTGGATTAGACAACTGCATTCCATTTATTTTGATCACCAGGCAAGAACAAAAAATTCATGCTTGGTAGGTTCCTTTCTTATCATTGGATGTGCGTGTGTTCAAACGCCAGCAGAATCTGCATTCTTTTCTTGTGAACTATATTATCTTATGTGGGATTTCCCATCATTTAATTCTTGGCACTCTCTACCCTTGCAAGTTTTTAATTTCTCATATATCCTTAATCGTCATCCAGCAACACTGCAACAGTATTTTGTAAACGGTGTAGTAATCCTTTGAGATTATTAGCACATATTTTGCGTGTAAAAACATAGTTCTTTTTTGAGCCAAAAGGCATTGTAATCAAGCATGGACCCGGTCCGGTTTCGATCCCAGACCAGACGGTCTTGGAGCCTTGGAGGGGCGCGGCTGGCGAGACCAGTACTCAGGGTTCCCGATTCTAGTCGACTGGTTGGTCCCTGGTCTTTTTTTCTAAATTTCAAGTTTGAGTGTAGAAAAACCATATGCATTATTTATGAAATGATCTATTTATTAGAGTATGATAAATTAAATTTAACCAACAAAGGTTCTACTAAACACTCCAATGGCTATATTATTTGAATTTTGAATGCAAAACGTAAGAATTAGTACAAATTATATAGTCGTTGGAAATACAACATTATCTCAGTGTTGCAAAGGCTCCAACTAATGGTGGGGTAAGAGGGTTGAATGTGTAGTTGTATCATTGTACTAAAGTATAAATGGATTGTTTCCGGATGTACTATGATGAAAATCGTCCCGAAAATTGTATGGACTGACTACTGTTGTATAACAGTATTGTAAGAATTAGTACAATACTATTACAAATATCAGAACATTGAATTAATGCAATACTACAATGGCATGCATAAAGTCTTATTCAATATGAAATGGCGTATAACATTTGAATAATTAAAAAATGAACACACCGTGTATTCATTGTTGGTGTCAATGAGTGTTGAGTGCTTTGTAAGGAAATGTTCGTGTAGTGTACCATAACTGTTGCTTTCTTATTTTTCAAGCACAAAATATTTTGGTAATGCAGACATTGTGTGTATAACATGTTTTTGCCACTTTTAGTTCTTATACTATTATGTCATTGACATCTTTGATACTCGATTTTGATTTTTCCATTTTTAATCCTCAATTATTGTGCTAGAGACGCTTTTGGTATTCGTCTTTGAAATTTTTTCATATTTAATCATTTGACTTTCTTAAAATGACATTTTTTTGCTTTCAACTATTATCATAGTGACATTTTTATTCATCCACTTGTGTCAAAATAATAGTGAAATGACTAAAAGTGTCAATTTAAAAAATAATCAAGGACTAAAAATGTAAAAAATTAACAGTTGAGTTCCAAAAGTTTCACTAACACTATAGTCTGAGGATCGAAAGTTGCAAAAGCTCTGTCGTTTGAGACATTCTTATTGAAAGCACAGTGAGTTAGATTGCAAGGGAGATTTTGGAGGGTTCCATAAATAATGAAGAATGAGGAAAATGGGGAAAATAAATAAAATTAAGTTGAAGATGTGACTAGTGTAGAGTAGGTATAGACTGGATTTGGTACTCTATTGACCGGACTCAGTTCGTTTTTACAGTTATAGGCAATACACCGGCCCTATCCGGAATTTTCACGTGTCCAGCATGGGTTCCTACTCTTAGGAGTGAACCGGGCAGTTTCGATCCTAATCCCAGTTTCTTCCATCTTTTATATTTATCACATCTCATCTTCACCATTCTCTATACCTATATATCACCTCTCATTTCCATCTTATAATACTCATGTTCCACCTTCAACATTTTTCATCTTCATCACCTTCCATGTACACCATATAAAATTGTGTCATGTTTCACATTTTCACGTTATCTACTTCTTCATCACTGAAGTTCGAGTCATTTGGAAAAACAACCGAAATTGGAGTCACCAGAGATGTTATCGGAATTACCATTTATGCCTTAGTAAAGCTTTGTTTGTATCATCCTGACTTTTGATAAAATTTGTCTGTGTGAACAAATTAAAATGAAAAAATCGTAAGTGTGTGTTAACATGGTTGCGCACAAAAAGTATGTGAACAAACATTTTTTGTCTGTATACAGACTGTCTATATACCGACATCAGTTTGCGAAAAAGAACTGACATTGGTTTGTAAGTCATATTAATTTGCGTTTTTTGCAAAACAAATGAGGCTTAGGTTGCACGGAAACCAATATGTGTGTATACGGACGAACATTAGTTGTCTGTATACTGACAAAAGTGTGTACTTATACATTGTTGTTGGTGTACATAGACATTGGCTTCCGTGCAACCTAACCTTAACTTCTATGCAATATTTTTGTTAGTGTCTACATGACTACAGACAATGAAATAAAATCATTGTCTATGGTGAAAGTTTACAAAATGTTAGTAGTTTCTCAGTTCTGATTTTTCCTTCAGACAAATTATATCATTATTCAACATGACACAAACAATATTTATATACCACACAAACAAAAATTTCTGCAGTCATTCATCATTAATTTTCTGATGACTTTTCGGCGACTCTAAAAGATCATTTTTTTCAATGCATAAACAAAAATAAAGGTGAAAATGATGATAGAAGATGACGGTGAAGATGAGGAATGAATAGAAGGTAAATAGAAAGAAAAAGACAGTAAGAAAGAGAAATTAAAAAGATGAAAGAAGAAAGAAAAAACTAAGAGGGTGATCGTTGAACCTCTGAATTATATATACTTGCAAATTATACCATATATTTTTATTATTTATAAATATACCATCGTACCTGTATCCTATATTTTTGAAATTGTCGAATCGCCATACGCGTATTCGCGCATCGGCGTGTCGGCGTATCCGCATCCGTGCAACATAGCTCCAAGGTGTCTGAGTGTGCACCTAGCAAAGTTGTTTTAAAATATCAGTAGAATTCAACTTATTGACAAAATTGAGATTAAAATTGTTAGTATATCATTAAAAATGTAACACTTGAGATTAATGTAAAGGGATTAATAAGTACTACCTATACCAACAAGATTCATCTTATTAAGGGAGCTCACCAGCCAAAAACTCTAAGTTAAGCACTCTTGCAAGAGAGTAGTCTTGGGATGGGTGACCCCATGTGATGTTTCTCAAGGCGCGCACGAGTGAGGACAGTACTAGAGGTCTGGATGGCGTTGTAGAGTAACTAACTTGGATCCTGCGGAGCCAAGGTGTTACAAACAAAATGTGTAAAATTGGATATAATCATATTCACAAAAAAATCCTGTCAAAACTAAAAAACTAAAAGCTAACAATTTTTTTGAAGATATATCTGAATGCTAACAAACTTTGTTCAGAAAAATCGAGGTTGTCTAGTGTTGTTCCATTACTTGATTTTTTAACCTCTTCAACTATCGGCTTTCACTTTTGACAGAATTTAGTTTTGATCATTTGTTTGGAAGAATGGAATAATCTAGTGTATTAAGGTGTCTGTCAGTTTTTTCCTTTATGAAGGAATGATTAATATAAATGCCCTAAATCAGGTCACATCCTTACATTTTGGAGACTCAAGATCAACAAGGGGTCCTTGAAATTATAAAGCTGAAAAACAAATTTTATTTTAAAATAAAAGTTTAATATGCATAGCAAGTACTTTCATACAAAAAATTATAGAAAAACAATTCCTTTGAGCTCTCCTAGATGCAAAATCATGATAATGCCACGGTCAGTATTATCCAATATCTCTTTCTCAATACAGAAAATCATCAAGTCATCCAGACTTTCTTGAGATATTGAAGATCTAATGCAGGTCTTCAATAAATCTAACTTTGGAAAGCTCCTCTCAAGTCTCAACTATAGGGGTGGATCTAAAAAATATTGTTATCGGGAGCATGGACGCCCATTGTTAGAATTCATCAAGTAACAGAACAAGAGAAGAATAAAGCTCCAGGAGAACTAGAATCCAGCCAATTCATGAACCAAAATAAAAGAGTGAAATATTGAGTGTGAGACACAAACTTATCATGATAAGCAGGTCAAGAAGGACTCATGATCAACAGACCAGATCAACAGGTGCACATGAACCACTGCAGAGAACCAGCCTGCAACCCCACTTCAGTCCAAGAAACATTAAATAGGATTCGTCTTCTGCCATCCAAGAAACACTTTCTGCGTCCTTGTGTGTATTTCCCCTCTGTAAAGTTTTATTTATACATATATATATATATATAGTTACCAACCTTAGCGGTAGAATTAAGGCTATAAATATGAGCCAGTCAGGACATTGTAACACACACAAAAATAATCTTCTTAGCCTTTGAGCTATTTTAATGGAGTTTTAGAATTTCTCCTACTTTCATTCTTCATTTTCTAATATGGTATCAGAGAGAGGTTACCTTTGCTAGAATCTCTTTTCTAATTTTATTTTATTATTTATTTTTCTGTTCTATATAAGGTCGCCTTCTTTACTTGTTTGTTTAAAAAGCTTTATCACTTTAAGATTTGAACATGACTGGAGAAACTGGTGAAATAGGCGAAGGACTGGATAGTGGTGGTTCACCCCATATCTATGATGATCCCTTTAGCCCATACTACTTGCATCACTCAGACAACACCACTTCTGGTGCTATTTCTCCAGTTCTCACCTCTTCAAACTATCATACTTGGAGCCATGCCTTTATCATGTCCCTGACTCTGAAAAATAAAGAAGGGTTCATTGATGGCACTCTGGAAAAACCAGATGCCAAAGACAAGAACTCTAAATCTTGGATCAAGTGCAATACTCTCATCATGTCATAGCTCATTCCCTCTGTTTCAGAGGAGCTTAAAGCCACTGTTCTATACTGTGATACTGCTAAAGAAGCTTGGGAAAAACTCAAAGTGAGATTTGCAAAACCAAGTGAAGTGAGAGTATTTCAGCTTGAGCAAAACTTAAATGCTCTTAAGCAAGGCTCCAATGTTGTTTCTCTTTTCTTTGGCAAACTTTCAGCCATATGGGAAGAGCTGAGTAATTACCAGCCAATACCCACATGCTCTTGTGGCTTATTCAAATGCAAACTCAGTGAACAGTTTGAGAAAATGATTGAAACTAGAAAACTATTCAAATTCCTAATGGGTCTGTCTAATGTTTATGAAGTTGTGAGAGAAACTATCATTAGTATGGAGCCTCTTCCATTTGTTGATAAAGCTTATGGTCTTGTCCTTC